TGCCCCATTTTGACCATCATTTTCCCGGCTTTTGAATTTTTCCTGCTGCGGTCTGCTTCTGGCTCCAGGCCCCATGGGAGAGGCGAACCAGTCGAGAGTCTCTGAGTTCCTCCTCCTGGGGCTCTCCAGGCAGCCCCAGCAGCAGCAGCTCCTCTTCCTGCTCTTCCTCACCATGTACCTGGCCACGGTCCTGGGAAACCTGCTCATCCTCCTGGCCATCAGCGTGGACTCCCACCTGCACATCCCCATGTACTTCTTCCTTTGCAACCTGTCCTTCGTGGACACCTGCTTCTCCTCCACCACTGTCCCCAAGGTGCTGGCCAATCACATACTCGGGAGCCAGACCATCTCCTTCTCTGGCTGCCTCATGCAGATGTATTTTCTCTTTGAGTTTGCTGACATGGACAATTTCCTCCTGGCTGTGATGGCCTATGACCGCTTTGTGGCTGTATGCCACCCCTTACACTATTCAGCAAAGATGACCCACCAGCTCTGTGCCCTGCTGGTCACTGGGTCGTGGATCATCGCCAGCTTGAATGCTCTGTTGCACACCCTGCTGATGGCTCGACTCTCCTTCTGTGCAGACAATGCCATCCCCCACTTCTTCTGTGATGTGACTCCCCTCCTCAAACTCTCCTGCTCTGACACACACCTCAATGAGGTGATGATTCTGACTGAGGGTGCCCTGATCATGATCACCCCATTCGTTTGCATCCTGGCTTCATATGTCCTTATCACCTGTGCTGTCCTGAAGATCCCATCCACAAAGGGGAGATGGAAAGCCTTCTCCACCTGTGGCTCCCACCTAGCTGTGGTTTCCCTCTTCTATGGCACCATCATTGCTGTGTATTTCAACCCTTCATCCTCATGTTCTTCTGAGAAGGACACCGCAGCTACTGTGATGTACACAGTGGTGACCCCCATGCTGAATCCTTTCATCTACAGCCTGAGGAACACGGACTTGAAAAGGGCTCTTGGAAAACTGGTTGGCAGGAAAGCATGCTCTTCTTGATGATGGTACCATACATCTTTCATTTGCAGTTGTGTGAATCTTTGCCAATTCAGTGAAATGTAGCAATGTGTCAGTCTCTACAAAGAACTCAGAATAAAGAAATACTCTCAGCAGATACTTATCAATGACCTGGGACTTAAGTACAACACTTTGAACAGGTTATTTGCATTTACTTCTAGTTACTGTATTTTAAATTACTTTGCATAAAGGTCAAGTTTTCCTTTCTAAGTGATCACTTTAAAAAGTTACACATAAAAAAAACATAAAAAGTTACACATAACAAATATTTTTGCATTTCCCTTCTGGAAGTGTTCTCAGAAACCACTATTGGTTTTCAATCTTGGATGTATGATATTATCAGCTGTGAAGCTTTGAAAGTATGTATACTAATGCTGGACTAAACCTTTACCAATTAAATTAGTATCTTTGTGCTGGGACTTGGGCGTCAGTAATTCCCCCACCTAAAGTTTCCCTAGGGGTTCTAATGCACTTTAAAAAAAAGTTTTATTTATTTAGTTTTTGGCTGTGGTTGGTCTTCCTTACTGCGGTTGGGCTTTCTCTAGTTGTGGCGAGCAGAGGCTACGCTTTGTTGTGGTGTGTTTTCTTTTCATTGCAGTGGCTTCTCTTGCTGCAGAGAAGAGGCTCTAGGTGTGCTGGCTCACTAGTTGTGACACATGAGCTTTGTTGCTCTGTGGCATGTGGGATCTTTCTGGACCAGCAATCAAACCATTGTCCCTTGCTTAAAGGTGTATTCTTAACCACTAGACCACCAGGGAACCCCAATGTACTTTCTCAGTTGGCAATCAGCTACAGTGACTGGAGTGATGCATTTACCAAGCACCATCTGGATTGCTGGCAATAAGCAACCTAAGGATCCCCAGGATTGCTGCAGCCACAGAAGGTAGAATGAATTCTCCCTCAGAACCTTCAGAAGGAATCAACCTTGCCAACACCTGGATTTTGGACTTCTAGGTTCCAGAGCTGTGAGATAAATTTCTGTTGTTTAAAGCCATCTAGTTTGTGGCACTTTGTTATGGCAGCCCTTGGAATCTAATATGGTATTTGCACAGAATTGCTTGCCTTTTCCTGTACAACCGTCTTCTGCAGTTTTTTGCATTCTTCTTGGGTCTTCCATTCTGGCAGTAAGGATTGGGTCATCTTTTTTGAAATTGTGAAGAAGTAAGAAATTTATGCAAGTTTTGGTGTTGCACTCCAAAGTGCAAAAATTGCAGCCATTGTGTATAATGAGTGCTTAGTTAAGACGGAATGGCGTTTCATTTGTACACTCAGCATTGGGCACTGGGTCTGGTTCATGTAAAGTGTAGCACGTTTCATGAAGAATGAGTAGTAGCTTAAATCAACTTCCTTGAAGTAATTATTTGTGTTTTTCTTCTCATGCTCCCTACCTCAGTTAGACTATATCTACATGAGTGCAAGGCCCAGGTTTTTTTTTTTTTTTTTCAATTGGCATGTAGTGGTTGCTCTACAATTATTATTTGCCTGAATAAATGATTATATGACTTAATCAGTATGGGGAAGTCACTGGAGAGGTAGATGAGAAAGTTTCCTGAAGGAGTTGATGGGCTTGACTCAGATCGCCACCACCTTTCAAGCATTATGGAAGCCTATATACATGTTTTTTTTTTTTTTTAAAACAGTGGTTAGATGCCACGAAGTAGGTGGCAATGCCTTAACCGTATGCGTGTTGTCAGGCCCGAGAGCCTCTTCCATCCTTGTCAAGGGGAGTGCTAACCTTCTCTCCTTTCATACAACACTATATACATGTTTTAATGTAGTTTTTAATGGTTAATTTTTTACAAAACATTTTTACAAAGATTAAGCCTCTTGTCCTATTTCTGTAATTTTTCACTTCTCTCCTGGAGCCCCCACCATCCTCTCTCCTGACTCCCTCATATCCCTTCAAAAGGCCCAAGAACTTCTGCAGAAACTCTGCTTAGCCTCTTCCCTTGCTGTCAGTACACTACTGCCTTCTCCCCCCTTATTCACAGTTTCACTTTCTGCAGTTTTAGTTACTCATGGTCAACTGTGGTTTGAAAAATATTAAATGAAAAATTCCAGAAATAAACAACTCATACGTTCTCAGTTTCATACCATTATGAGTAGCCTGATGGAATTTAATGCTGCCTCTGCTTTGTCCAGCTCAGGACGTGAATTATCTGTTCCTCCAGCACATCCAGAGAAGGAAATGGCAACCCACTCCAGTACTCTTGCCTGGAAACTCCCATGGAGGGAGGAGCCTGGTAGGCTGCGGTCCATGGGGTCGCTAAGGGTCGGACACGACTGAGCGACTTCATTTTCACTTTTCACTTTCATGCATTGGAGAAGGAAATGGCAACCCACTCCAGTATTCTTGCCTGGAGAATCCCAGGGATGGGGGAGCCTGGTGGGCTGCCGTCTATGGGGTCGCACAGAGTCGAACACGACTGACGCGACTTAGCAGCAGCAGCAGCCAGCACATCGTGACCGTTAGTCACTTAGCAGTTCTCTGGATTTTCAGGTCAACTGTCGTGGTATTGCAGGGCTTGTGTTCAAGTCACCCCTTATTTTACTTATTAACAGCCTCAAAGCACAGGAGTAGTGATTCTGGAAATTCAGATTCGCCAATGAGAAGCCATAAAGTGCTTCTTTTAAGTAAAAAGATGGAAGTTTTCAACCTGATAAGGAAAGTATGAAAAAGGATGCTGAGATTGCTAAGATCTACGGTAACAATCTTTTTTGAAATTGTTAAGAAGAAATCTGTGCAAGTTTTGCTGTTGCACTCCAAAGTGCAAAAATTACAGCCATTGTGTGTAATGAGTGCTTAGTTAAGACGGAATGGCATTTCATTTGTACATGATATTTTGAGAGAGGCAATATTCACATAATTTTATTACAGTGTGTGTGGTTAGTTGCTCAGGCATGTTGGACTCTTTGCGACCCGGTGGACTACAGACTGCCAGGTTCCTCTGTCAATGGAATTTTTCAGGCAAGAATACTGGAGTGGGTTGCCATTTCCTTCTCCATTTATTACAGTATATCATAATAATTGTTCTATTTTATTAATTTTTATTGTTAATGTCTTATTGTGCCTACTTTATAAGTTAAACTGTATCACAATTATGTTAGTACAAGAAAAAACACTATATATAGGGTTCGGTAGATCCATAGTTTCAGGTATTCACTGGGGGTCTTGGCTCATACCCCCCAAGGACAAGGGGGAGATCACTGTAATTACTGACCAGAATCAGCTTCACCACTTTAACTAATGTCTGGTTGGTGTGTATATTTGACAGTAAGTTTAGTGGACTCAAACATCAATAATATTTTCAAAATCTAGTTCATTTCCTATCTTGGTTTCAAGAGAGAATTGCCATCTTAGATAGTTTCTCTTGATCAACGGGAAGCTCTAAAGTATTTATTGATCTTCTTTAAACTTTGATAGGTTGTTCCAAGACTTTTTTGCATTAATTTTGCTTTGAAAAAACACTGCATCGATACTCTGGTTTCTTTTCAGATCATATAACTCTTCCGCCTTTCATTAAAGATTTCTGTGGAGAGGAACAATTCTGAGTTTTTACCCAACTTTTTGAGGCCCTGCACTTGCAAGGCTAAAAAAACATAAGAAAACAACAAAAACCCCATTGCACTGAAATACGCTTTACTTTGGACATTAAGCTTTTGGGGGTCCCGGGAGCTTTGCCTCGCAAAACCCCCCACCCCGCCTTGGTGTAACACGGCTGCGGCCCTTTAGAGGACTTCCCTACGCGCGACCCTCATGCGCATGCGCAGCGAAGGAGGCGCGGACTCGGCGGCACTTCTTCCCGGAAGCACTGAACTGGCCCTCGACTGGGACCGTCAGAGGCTGCGTGGACCGGCTTGCCTTGCCCCGCCTCTTGCCGCTCCGCACCCACATGTTCCTGCCCAATTAGAAAGGCGGGAGGCGGAGTCTCAGCTCTGCGCGGTCTCCTTGGGAAAGTGCGACCGATTCTCTCACCGGAAGTACCGCGGGCTGGGACCTCCGGTGTGGAGCGGATGTTCAGTGATGTAGTAAGTGGTTCTGCCTTGACCACAAAATGCTGTAAAGAGGCCCTCTGGGGTTGGTGCCTGCCAAATCTGGGCAACTGGCGGATCCCATGAGCCTTCCACACGTCACTTAGTCTCGGTCCTGCTCCATCTCTGGCGTTCCCGGTTAGGATGGGTCACGAGGTGTTCAGGATTCCTGTTTCCTGCTTCCAGAGCCGGGAACTCTAGGAAGTCAACGCCTGAGTTCCAATCTGGATGTCCTTTCAAAAGGCGAGGTGGACTGGGAAGCCAGCACCGCAAAAACCGGTGTACCCTATTCAGGGTAAGGGCTCCTTTTACTCCATTGCTGAGGGCTTGCTCTGCCCAGTGTGATTCGAGGACCCGGCGTCACTGCCTGGGTGATTGTTAGGAATGCCTAAGCTCAGGCTCCATCCCAGACTTCCTGTCAGAAGCTTCACTTTATAAACATTCTAGATGATTTCTGTGCACGTTAATGTTTGAAAATCGCTGCCCTCGGCTTCCCGAGATTTCTAGTCTAGGAGGCAGTGTTGATGTATACAATTGCTTCTGCAGTCGATCGCCTCTACTGCAGATCTAAAGGCGATGTTAAGATTTGAGCCTGGTAAGTCAGCCTCAGGATCTTTATGACATCCCAGGCATCACCTACTACTTAATTAAGATGACGTAAGGAAAGTGATGGTGAGGAATGATATAAATAGACAACTTATGGTGAGCATGCTTATTTGGGAATGTGCAGAAGCACTCAGGAAAGGGAAACTGATGTACAGGAGGACGTGCTTAATCAGCCTGAGGTCGAAAGACTGATTGCATATGTGTTAGGGATGAATGAATGTATTCATCAACTTGGCATCCCACCAACATCATTTCTAACCAAGGAACTCACTGTATAATAAAAGGAATGTGGTAGACAGTTTTCAGGATAGTCCTGGGCAATCCTAGTCTTGTGTAATCTCTTCACACAGTGAATTGGACTGATTTATCTCTAAATGTATTTGGGCTTCTGTAACAAAATACCATGGACTGGGTAGCTTGTACATAGCAGAAATTTATTTGGGAAACTTCCCTGGTGGTTCAGTGGTTAAGACTCCACAAGCACTCAATGCAGGGTGCTGGGGTTCAATCCCTGGTTAGGGAACTAGATCCCACATGCTGCAACTAAGAGTTCAAATGCCTCAACCGACCCCACATGATGCAGTTAAGATCTGGTGCAACCAATACATTTCTTTTAAACAAAATTTATTTTTCACAGTTCTGGAGGCTAGAAAGTCTAAAATCAAGATGCTGGCACATTTGTTGTGTGGTGAGAGGACACTTCCTGGGTCATAGATGACAGTTCTACTGCTTATGGTGGAAGGGACAAGGGAGCCGTCTCAGGCCTCTTAGAAGGGTACTGATCCCCTTGGGGAAGCCTTGCCCTCATGAACTAACCACCTTCCAAAGGCTCCATCACCTGAGGATTAGGATTTCACTATACAAATTTTGCTGGGACACAAACATTTGGTCTGTAGCACTGTGTGAGTTATAGGGTATTATGGAAATGATGCTCTGTGACTTCTAGAGCTCAGTCGTTAAAGATACTGTGGCTTCTATGCTGCTGTCTTGAATCACTTGCTCAGGGGGAAACGAGCTCCTCTGTTGCAAGGACATACCAAGTTAGCTCCCTGGAGAACTCCACAGGAGGAACTGAGGCTTCTTGCCAATAGCAATGTGTGAGCGAGCCATCTTGGACACTCATCCTCCACCATAGTCAAGCTTTCAGATGACTGAACGCCTGCAGATAACTGCAGTCTCATGAGAGGCCCTGCTCCTGAACCATTCCGCTAAACCATTACTGGATTCATGACCTATAGGAACTGTGTGATACAAATGTTTATTGTTTTAAGTTGCAAAGTTTTGGTATAACTTGTTACTTGACAACAGATAACTAACACAAAGGATAAGGCTGGTGTCCATGGGATTCTTTGGTGTTTACTTCTACACCATTACCAGGAACAGTTGACCTTAGGAATAGAGAAATGGTCTTTTAAAGACTCAATTTTGATCCCAGTTGAGGTGACCAGGTGGCTTGGTGGTAAAGAACCTTCCTGCCAATGCAGGAGACATGGGTTCAATTCCTGGGTTGGGGAGACCTTTTAGAAGAGGAAATGGCAACCCAGTCCAGTATTCTTGCCTGGAAAATTCTATGGACAGAGGAGCCGGGCAGGCTGCAGCCCATGGGGATGTAAAGTCGTGTCCAACTTGACTGAGCACACAGATTACCCTGTAAGAGTAGGGTGCTATTTTATAGAATACAGTATAAGTTTCATACCAGTGGACAATATATGCTAAACTTTCTCCCAGGTAGCAATTTCTCCCAGGGGCAAGGAAACAAGAGGTAGAAGTAGGCAGCACTTTTTGTAATACCTCATGATGTACTTGCAACAATTTGCTTTTTACCCCAGCAGTACTGGGCTCTGAAGAGACTTCCTGCTGGCCAATTTGGGCTCCTTTTGGTACTGGATAAACTGAACAAAAGGATATTCTAATATTGTTATGAGTTTGACTATCTATGGAAAGTAGTTTTTCTGCTGTACAGTGGTAGCAGAGAGGATTATGGGTGGAAGATCTCCCTGAGAGATTCTGGAATTGCCATGTCTTGTGATGGGAGTTAATAAAAGACTAGGAGAGTCTTATATGGGCAAGATCATAAGGTCAGATCTCTCAGACATGAGAATTTAGGTTACTACTCAGATTCTTTTTTTAAACTTTGAGTAGCTGAGATGCTGGCTAAAGATAAAGGGAACATGAATTCGATTGTGGATAAGGGAGACTTCCCAGGTGGGTCACTGGTTAAGAATCCGCCTGCCAATGCAGGAGGCATGAGTTCAATCCCTGGACTGGGAAGACTTCATTTGCTATGAACAACTAAGCTGGTTTGCCATGACTACTGAAGCCCACACTTTAGAACCTGTGCTCCATAACAAGAGAGCCAGTGCAGGAAGCCAGTGTGCTGCAGCTAGAGAGTAGTCCCCACTTGCAGCAACGAAGACCCAGCCCAGTCAAAAAAATAAATATAAATAAAAATTTTTTAAAGATTGTGGATAACGGAAACTATTGATATCAATTAATCATTCATGGCTACTTATGGAAATGAATATTGTATCATTCAGTCATATTTCTCTCTTTCTGTTTATATTTATCTCTTGAGCTAGTTAACTTTCTTCTTCTCTCTCCCTCCTTCTGTTTTACATGTATGTAGGATATGTAGATATTGCTTAGCTTTCAAATTTGATTCAGAAGTTATAGAAAGTCATAATGGGATCATGATTGGAGAAGGGAAGATCTTAGTTTGGCTCCTGGATACAGTAATTCATGTTCTTCTGTGGTGAGAAGGATACTTTTATTATGTTAGACCAGAGAATTTCTCTATTGAAGGTAAGTAGGTGAGAGGAGTGTGCTTTAATATCCAGCTGGGAGGATGGATTCTGATGGGAGTTTATCTTACTTCTTTGGCTTCCCAACTTCTGTGACCCCTTCCAAAGCTTAGGTAATAATACCTACTGTGTCATTCTGGTGGGGAAGAAAAACCTGCTTCTTCCTGTGTCACAGGAAATTCTCAATCACTTCTATCCCAGCCCTCTAGGAGCTAAGCTGTGGGCACGTGCGAACCCATTAGATATCCTGAGTCAGCCTTTGACACAAAGGGAGCAAGGAGGAGATTTTCTAGCAGTGGCAGCTATTGCAGCAAAGAGGGATTGCTGGGCAACAGCGCTTCTGGTGGCAGCTTGTGCCCAGGGCTAGCTGTGTCGGAGTCATGAGCTGTGAGTTTATGCTGGGATAAACCCGCTAATCCAGCCTGTGCTATGGATGATCTGGGCCATTCTAGCTGCCATGTGACCTCCTGAGCCTGCTTCTCCAGTTGCTCTGTGTTTTTAAATAAGAATTATCAGTTTCAAGAGATCTCTTTCTGCTTAATTGGTGAGACTCTGTTATTTTCACCTAAGAACTGTGAGTGAGGCCACAGTACTCAACCATCAGAAAAGGACTTGAGGGACTTCCCTGGTGGTCCAGTGGCTAAGACTTCAAATGCAGGGGGCTCCGGTCAGGGAACTAGATCCCACATGCTGCAACTAAGACTGGGCATAGCCACATAAACAAATATTAGGGGTTTCCTGGGTAGCACTACTGGTAAAGAACCTGCCTGCCAAGGCAGGGGATGTGGGTTTGACCCCTGGGTCAGCAAGATGCCCTGGAATGTGCTCTGCTTAGTCGCTCAGTCTTGTCCTACTCTTTGCAACCTCATGGACTGTAGGCTGCCAGGCTCCTCTGCCACGGGGATTCTCCAGGAAAGAATACTGCAGTGGGTTGCAAATGCCCTCCTCCAGGGGATCTTCCCAACCCAGGGATCAAACCCAAGTCTCCCTCATTGGAGGCAGATTCTTTACCATCTGAGCCACCAGGGAATTCCCTGGAATAGGGAATGGCAACCTGCTGTAGTAGTATTGCCTGGAGAATCCCATGGACAGAGGAGCCTGATGGGCTACAGTCCATGAGGTCACAAAGAGTTGGACACGACTGAGCACACACAAAGAAAGATGTATTTAAACAAAGAAATATTTTTTTTTAAAAAAAGGAAAGGTCTTGAACTCTGAACAGGGTGGCCACTAATATTCTCTCCAGCTCATTGCTGTTTCTGTGCGCTTTTTTAGTTTTTTTTTTTTTCATTTATTTTTATTAGTTGGAGGCTAATTACTTTACAACATTGCAGTGGTTTTTGTCATACATTGAAATGAATTAGCCATGGATTTACATGTATTCCCCATCCCGGTCCCCCCTCCCACCTCCCTCTCCACCCGATCCCTCTGGGTCTTCCCAGTGCACCAGGCCCGAGCACTTGTCTCATGCACCCAACCTGGGCTGGTGATCTGTTTCACCCTAGATAATATACATGTTTCGATGCTGTTCTCTTGAAACATCCCACCCTCGCCTTCTCCCACAGAGTCCACAAGTCTGTTCTATACATCTGAGTCTCTTTTTCTGTTTTGCATATGGGGTTATCGTTACCATCTTTCTAAATTCCATATATATGTGTTAGTATACTGTAATGGTCTTTATCTTTCTGGCTTACTTCACTCTGTATAATGGGCTCCAGTTTCATCCATCTCATTAGAACTGATTCAAATGAGTTCTTTTTAATGGCTGAGTAATATTCCATGGTGTATATGTACCACAGCTTCCTCATCCATTCGTCTGCTGATGGGCATCTAGGTTGCTTCCATGTCCTGGCTATTATAAACAGTGCTGTGATGAACATTGGGGTGCACGTGTCTCTTTCAGATCTGGTTTCCTCGTTGTGTACCGGTTTCCTCGGTGTGTATAGTTTTTTGTTTTTTTGCTTTTCTGCATAGATTGTTGCTTCTCCATCTATGAGGCAGACAGGAGAGAGTTTCAAGCTTCTGGATTTCTCCATCCAGACCAAGTCATGCTGGGAATGACCCACAGGTCCTTAGCATCAGTGCAAAGTTCCCAAATCCATCACAAATCCTCGCTGGGAGGAGATGGTGGACTCTAAATTGGGCTGCTGGAGCCCACACTCCTGTGAGTATGGATTGATGACCATCCCCAGAAAAGAGTGGTCCACTGTGTGCTGGGGTGACATCCTCACAGAAGTCTGTTCTAGGAGCCTGGGGTTTCTCTGTCATGGGACGTTGTGCTCTCTGCTACATCTCTCCCTCCAGGCTGATCCTTTACATCAGATGCTTTACGGGAAGAAGCACAACTCTCCCCTACCCCAGCTTCCCTATCTGCAAATACATCACTAGCTCTACACAGTAAATGACCAGATATTAGATAAGAAGAGGCTCACTCAGATAACACTGCAATAACCCCACTTGCTGAGCTAAGAAGAAGACCTTTTAATAGCTGAATTGTCAAATACATAAGCATAAGCCCACATCAGCAAGGTGATGAAATTGGAGATTTCAGAGGATTTTCTCTGGGACTCCTCTCCACCCAGACAGCTTTATCTTCAAGTTCTGATCCTGAAGTTAGATCATATACTTTGTTTTCATTGTGGGCTCATAGGGACCAGGAAACAGGTGGGACAATTACTCTCTGCTTGTCTCTAATAAGGCTCTCAGGGAATCTGGTCCCAATGGCCATGGAGACTACTGTAAAAAAACCATCTCTGGCCAACCCTCCCCCACTCCAAAAAACCTCCTTCCTGCACAGAAAGCTGAGGTCATGAACACTCTGCTCCACACCTGCTCAGGACCTACCTATCCTTCCAAGCCTTTCCAAACCTTGTAATAAAGAGGAAGCCTGGCCAGTTCCTCAGAGGTGAAGCACACTTGATGGTAACAGCACAAGCTTCTCCAGGTAAGATGGTAACAGTCAACATTTCTTTCTTTTTTGGCTTTTGCTGTATAGTATGTGGGATCTTAGTCCCCTGAGCAGGGGTTGAACCCATACCCCTGTAGTGGGAGCTGAGAATCTTAACCAATGGACCATCAGGCAAGTCTAAATATTTCTTTATTAATGGGTGAAGTTTTTGGAATGACCTCCTTCATTAAATCTTCCAGATCCAGGGAATAGTAGCTGTCCTCAGCTGGAGCTTGAGATAAACCCAATAACAACTGTTTCTCTTCTCTCTACGAACTACTGAGTAGGAGAAAGACTGGGAATCTTAATAGAGACACACATAGTGGCAGGGGAGGGCTGTGCATTATTTTTATGTTATATTTGATATAATTAAAAAAATGAATCCAATGGGACCAGTATTATCTAGGACTGGGAGTTGGAAGTTGAGGGTGTGGGGAGTAGGGGCAGATTCTGACTAAGCAACTCTGCTTGCATGGAGTCACTTCAGTCATGTCTGACTCTTTGTGACCCCATGGACTATAGCCCAGGCTCCTCTGTCCATGGAATTCTCCAGGCAAGAATACTGGAGTGGGTTGCCGTTTCCTCCTCCAGGGGATCTTGCCAACCCAGGGATTGAACCTGCTTCTCTTATGTCTCCTGCATTGGCAGGTGGGTTCTTTACCACTAGTGCCACTTGGGAAGCCTTTGAGCAACCTTAGAGGGTTTATTAGCATAACTATGGCTGGAGCTTTGATTATTGCACCCAAAGCATTAGCTTCTAGGTTTCTGACCTCTGCTTCTCATCTCTGCATCTTAGTCCGGTCCCATGGGAGAGGCGAACCAGTCGAGAGTCTCTGAGTTCCTCCTCCTGGGGCTCTCCAGGCAGCCCCAGCAGCAGCAGCTCCTCTTCCTGCTCTTCCTCACCATGTACCTGGCCACAGTCCTGGGAAACCTGCTCATCCTCCTGGCCATCAGCGTGGACTCCCGCCTGCACATCCCCATGTACTTCTTCCTCTGCAACCTGGCCTTCGTGGACACCTGCTTCTCCTCCACCACTGTCCCCAAGGTGCTGGCCAACCACGTACTCGGGAGCCAGACCATCTCTTTTTCTGGGTGTCTCACACAGATGTACTTTATTTTCATGTTCATGGACATAGACAATTTCCTCCTGGCTGTGATGGCCTATGACCGCTTTGTGGCTGTATGCCACCCCTTACACTATTCAGCAAAGATGACCCACCAGCTCTGTGCCCTGCTGGTCACTGGGTCGTGGGTCACTGCCAGTCTGGATATGCTTTTGCACACCCTGCTGATGGCACGACTCTCCTTCTGTGCAGACAATGCCATCCCCCACTTCTTCTGTGATGTGACTCCCCTCCTCAAACTCTCCTGCTCTGACACACACCTCAATGAGGTGATGATTCTGACTGAGGGTGCCCTGATCATGATCACTCCGTTCGTTTGCATCCTGGCTTCATATGTCCTTATCACCTGTGCTGTCCTGAGGATCCCATCCGCAAAGGGGAGATGGAAAGCCTTCTCCACCTGTGGCTCCCACCTGGCTGTGGTGTTCCTCTTCTATAGCACCATGATATTTCTGTATTTCAACCCTTTGTCCTCCCACACAGCTGAGACAGATGTAGCAGCTGCTGTGATGTTCTCTGTGGTGACGCCCATGCTGAACCCCTTCATCTACAGCCTGAGAAACCAGGACATAAAAAAGGCTCTTGGAAAAGTGGTTGCTATTAAATTTTTTTCTGTTTAGTAATCAAATGGACTAAGAAAATCACAGAGGGAACTAATTTCTAAGAAAATTCTATTTTTGTTTTTTTATTATGCAAAACTTAAAATTTGTCTTTTATTCTTGATACTAGAACCCTATATCCTGATCTTCCACTTATATTTTATAACAGTCTTTCTAAATTTCTGAATAGTCTCCACAAATTTTATTTTCCTTTCCTTTTGTATTTCCATCAGGTTGCTCTAGCAAAATAAACTCACTAATCACCCTGTTACTGAATTAAAACATAAAGGAAGTTTTACTATTTAAAAGTACAACTTTATATTTTGAAAATGATTGCAGAAAATAAAACATTGAGAAATAGATGAAACTGGTTAAAACATCACTGAGAAGGATGCTCTCGATTGTGAGGGACAAAGACAAAAAATAGGGCAGTTCCCCTTAATTTCACAGAGCTAAGATGATATCTTTTATGAAAATGGACAGAATTTGAATCCAAGGGAATTTCTGTTTATAATAATGATTTTTGTATATTCTTTGTAATTGTGTATTGGTATTTTTGCCTAAAGGGATAAGTGGTAGCATTTTCCATTTTTAGTCTATATATCCAAGAATTATTTGTAATAAGAGGGACAATACCTGTTCTTCCAAACTCTGAAAGAAATCCCCAACCTTTGCTCCATGTATTTTTGTGCTCTACTAGATACAGTCATGTTTATGTTTTATGTAAGTTTGTTCTATCCTTTTATCATTATAAGATATCCCTTTTATCTAGAGTAACATTTTGTCTAATATTATTGTAACCATTCAGGTCTTCTGTGGTTTCTGTTTGCATGACATCTTTGCAACCTTCTTTCAATTCAATGTGTCTTTAAATCCAGAGTGTGTACTCTGTAGACAACATATACTTTGATCATGTTTTTTAATACAGTTTAATGATCTCTGACTTTTGGTTGAATTTTTAACCCACTCACTTTTTTTTTATGGCTGTACTGGGAAGCATGTGGGATCTGTTTCCTGACTAGGGATTGAACCCGTGCCACGTGCGTTGGAAGCACAGTTTTAATCACTTGACTGCCAGGCAAGTCCCCCATTCACTTTTAACACTAATATCTACGATTTAACTTTGTTTTCTTGTGCCTTTTTTGTCTTTCCTGCTCTCTTTTGCATTTATTCTGTATTTTCTAATGTAGCATTTTAACATCAGTAATTCTTTTTACTATATTTTTTTGGATTTTTTTTTTAGTGGTTGCTCCAGGTTTAACTGGTCATCAGCATCAGATTTATACTAGCTTCAGTTTCAGTCACTCAGTCGTGTCCAACTCTTTGCGACCCCATGAATTGCAGCATGCCAGGCCTCCCTGTCCATCACAAACTCCTGGAGTTTACTCAAACTCATGCCCGAGTCGGTGATGCCATCCAGCCATCTCATCCTCTGTCGTCCCCTTCTCCTCCTGACCCCAATTCCTCCCAGCATCAGGGTCTTTTCCAATGAGTCAACTCTTCACATGAGGTGGCCAAAGTATTGGAGTTTCAGCTTCAGCATCAGTCCTTCCAATGAACACCCAGGACTGATCTCCTTTAGGATGGACTGATTGGATCTCCTTGCAGTCCAAGGGACTCTCAAGAGTCTTCTCCAACACCACAGTTCAAAAGCATCAATTCTTC